ATGTTGAATTACACTTAATATTGATGCAGAAGACATTTTTCTACCTCCTTCTTTCCACAATGATCTTTTTTTGGTAATAATTTTTTGAGCCTTCTGGGCAAGTGTGGAGTTCCGCCTCTTCAGGTCGAACGAAAAATTTTTTCCTACAGAAAATTACGTTTCACTATTCAGCTGCGTCAGCACCAAACCAAAAAAGCGCACACTACTGGGATTACACATTTTAAAAAGTCCTATTCGCTTTTACAATTTATTATGTTAAGTAATTACAACTACATCTTTTACCATAATTAAAATTCTATTTTTTCACAAGCTGCCAACCAGCGTATCACAATTTTCTTTTTCCCAATGCCAAAAAAGAAATTAAGAAATTTCATCTGACATTCATTGCCGTACAAGTCGTACGTTCAGTGAATTCGAATCTCGCAGGGTTGTATTGCTTCAGTAGCAAGGGAACAAATAGTAATATGCAACATGAACCAAAAATACAAGATCACGCAAGAACGCGACCTTGTACATGTAATTGGATTTAGCAAAAAAGTTTGGCATTGCGGATTCGTCAGCTGATCATTTGCTTACACCACAAGCGCTACTATTTTACACGTTTCTTCAACTAATGAAACGTTCATTCAACATGACAACACGTTTTAAAGCATTTTTAAGCTTAGTATCCAGCTCTTAAGAAAACGGTCAAGAAAAAATTGCCATTATTTCGCGTGTGTGTCCAAGGAATTTTGACATTTTTGATAACGCACAGCCTGTTGCCTCACTCTTTCCTCAGGCCCTGTCTCCACAGGAAAACACTGATGTCGTGATAACCATGTCACAAAATATATTTCCAATGGAGACCGCCTATTTCTTATGTGCTGCAATATATGTCAGCGCTTATTGCTTGACATCTATTGCAGGCAATTCGATAGTTTGACAGCCATATTTTCATTTGAAAGAAAGCGTGCTGGTGGTAACATCGATGAAATTTTGATATTAAATCAAAATAAAAATCTGTTCCGTATTGGATAATTTATGATTACGTTTTAGGAAATTATTTAGCTAGTTTTTTAAAGATTTAAATGTTTTTAAACACCGAAATTGAGAGAATGTTGTCTGGTGGCGTCATGCGGCAAATGCTTATTTCAAGACATCAAAGTGCCCACACACAAAAACTTGCAATCACATTGCTCGTCAAAATGACAGTTGGTAGGCCATCGCTGTTCGCCTGTGGAGTTCTGCAGTCAAGAAATAATGGAACGGGCATATATTTCGGTTGCAAACCTGGGTTGCCTTGTGCTCTTTTTTCACAAAAAACTTTAGAAAACCGTAGTAGAAAGCGTACTAAATTTCTGAAGAACTGCGTACTGCCTTAAGGAAATTTGACTCAAGAAAATTTCTTAGCCATTTCTTGTACGTCATTTTATATGGAGTTTTTGCTTTTCTTAAGAGCTGGATACTAAGCTTAATAGTGAATAATTTTATTTAAGTTGTGTGTGTCTATTTTCTTAGATTTTTTACTTTTCTTTCGTTTTCCAGCGAAACAAGATCGACTTTTTTCACACTCTTGTACTTTCGTGATTTTTTGACGTTCACATACATACTACTTTTTAGTTGTGTTTAATGAGACCGAAAAAAGTGCAGAGCCGGCCAAATTAGAGCAGAGTCGAGCAGCTGTCAAAAAACAATAGAGCAAGTGAGAGCAACTCAGATCAGAAATCTCATGAAACACTTTTCAGGCAGAAATTCTCAAAACAGTTGCTTGTTCTCTGTTACTCCATCAAAAAAACTGGTGCAGAAAATCGTGCTGTAAGTTGCTCTAGTTTCACTTAGCGCAGGCTAATGAAACAAAAAGGAAAGCAAGTTAGAGCAAGAAAAATCCTTATGCAACACAATTTTGTGAGATATCTTAACCTGGCGTAACCTAGAGCAGCTCATTAAACACAATTTTTATTGAACCACTAAAGGCTCGGCCAGATTGAAAATCTTTTCTGCATCACAGGGATGCTTTTTACTGACAAAACGCATAGAACATGGCAAGACGGCACCATTAAAACGTTGTCACAAGCAAACTGGTTTGAATTTGTTGCATACATTTTTGTTGTCGTTGTTTTGCCACGTGTGCATACGTTAAAAGTTGAGAGTTGGGCGATTTTATCAGCTGCGGCAATGCACACATTGCCAATGTGGCGTCTTGTATTTAAAATCACAGAGATAACTTGGATGCCAGTCAAAAGCACTCCTGCGGCGCAGATAATAATTTCTATCAAATTTTCTTTTGAAAGAAAGTATGCTTGTGGTAACTTCGATGAAATTGTGTTTTTCAGATTGTTTGCGAATAGAAACTTACTTAAAGAACACTTTTATAAGCATTGATTGTTAGATATAAAGTAAAAAAATGTGAATTCTTTTGTTTATGCAGGAAAGGTGATTAGTGCAGTGTTTATATGGAAAAGTGCAGTAATGGGAAATTTTAACAACAAATAACTTTAAAACTTCCTCAACACCCCTCCGCGTTTCATTAAAAACTTCGCTATACTTTGATTGAAATAGGAAATGGTCCATTATTGGAAAACTCAGCCATCTATATTTACTTGATCTTAATTATAGGTGAGATACTCATACACTCATATTTTTATACCAAGCCACTCACACTTTTGCAAAATGCCTACCAGTTCAAAGCCATTTTTCTTTCAGAAGGCAATTTTTCGTTCAATTTTAATACCTCATCCACCTCATTATATCTCACTTACAATGTTTAGCTGTTTGAAAATAAAACTGCTTGTCACAGCTATACGTTTTTAATATCTGACAACTAATACATTCGTGCGGTCAAGTTGAAAGCAATTTATTGCACGTGTAAGCAGGGTAATGCAATTTTTTATTTATCTCTCTATTATATTCGGTTCTTTGCGTCGTCACGCAAGCGAGATTTTCCAGCACGTGAAGACGGCCGGTCACAGTCCGGACCGGATCCGGTAATTAGAGAATAAGCGAAAAGTGTGTTCTCAAAAATGAAACATAATCCAGAAGTACGGGAACGAAAAACCCACATTTCGTGCCCAGCATTTGAGAAAAAGCTGATTTGCGTTGTTGTCACTTAAATGCAAACTCTTGGAAATTGAATTTTTGCTTCACAAATTTTTTTTTAAGTATATAAACATTGAAAATGCATCAACAGGCCATTTACTATTCCTTAAAAGCACCAAGTCAATGCAGGTAACATGTAAACACAAAACAGCTGATATGCAGTTTGACACTTTATCCACTTTCACCCGGAGAAAAAGGCTGTTTCGGGCAGAAAGAAAAAGACACTTACGATCCAATACGTTCAAATTTTCGCTCTCTATTACCCATTTTGTTGAGTACGAGAATGAATTCTGGTATATTTTGGGCACCCGCGGGATCCCGCGTTGCGTACGGGAAAGAACCTATTGAGACTCCGTTATCGTGAAAGTTATCGATGTAATCGTTTCAAATTATTGTTCTTACCCAACAAACACCAAAAAAAAGGTTTGTATAGTAACCTCCAGTAAAAGATTGCAGCGAGAACGCCAAAGCAAAATAGAGCACAAAATTGAGAAAAGAAAACTAGAAGAAAAAGTTATTGAACATAAAACTAGTAAAAAGTTGCAAGTGAATTGTTGTTCCACCATTTTGATATTCTGCTGTCAACATTTTACTATTTATAAATCAGTTTAACCTCTTTACATCTTTAATATTGGAGATGGAGAGCTTCATAGTTATCAAGTTGATATCCAACATCATTATCCAATTCATCTCTAACCGATTCGCATATACGTAAAAAGTTATAGAGAAACGTATTTTTTACAAAAAGAAGAAAATTCCCAACAATAAGTAAATAATCATCAAAGTATCTTCAAGTAATCTTGAGATAGTCTTTATAGAAAATATAACGCGAAGTGAATCAATTACCAGAATTTCTGTCGCACTGTATACTGTAAAGTGAATTATTGTAATACGATATTGATTAATTACATATTACAAAAGGAATAATATAAAAAAAAAAAATAATCAGCCCTATCACGAGTTTAATTTTCCCACTAGCACTACTAGCAATTTCTCAACTTGAGAAACGGTCCTATTTTCATACAAAGAAAAATGACCTTTGAGGAACTGTTGAGGAACACCGTTGTAACCTCAAGTTGAGTTTCAAACATAAACGTTTGTTGGGTGGGCTCTACTCATACCAAATATTTACTGCTAGATTTTTTCCACTGCACTAGCGCAGTTGTCAAATTGGCGCCTTATAAAATTAATGCATTTGTATTAAATCTTTTGGAGTGTTCAAAGTTATTCAGAAATACTATTAAATAATACGTTCCAAGTTATGTCGGAGGAATATGATGTGTTTGCTAATTTGTACGATAACGACAAAGGTTACTAATTGATTTTGAAATGATTCTGGATATCCATGTTTGAAATTATCGACTGGTTTATTATTGCAGATGATAAGGCCAAATTTTTAGAGACGCTTGAATCTCGTAAGACTGATTTGCTAAATAATGGTAGCTCTGACGATGAAGATTTGCT